TGGACATTGAAAACATATTAAAATAGCATTATAGCATACAGTTGTCAGAATATATTTGTTTTTATTATTATTATTATTATTATTCCGAATGTAAGAGAAAGTAAAACTGTACATAGTTACTAAAGAAAAATTAAAAAAATGTAAATTTGTTGTCTACTGTTACCTGCTCCATGTTGGTATCGTTACAAATTCAGTTCGAATATTTTCCAATTGAGAAGCTTGCATTGTTTGCACAACATAGTTAATAGCAGCTTCTAATTTCGGTCCGGGTAACCGACTTCCAAAAACATCCAAAAAGCGAACCGTTGAGTTATAAACACCACCTTTTAAATTTCCCTGCATTAATTCTTTCATGATTAAATTTGCAATTGGTTGATAAGATTGAATTTCTGATAATAATTGTGAGGTTAAGTTACAAAATTTTCCTTCATATCGATTGGGATAAGATGGATAAGATTGAAAATTGTTAGAGGGCTGAATATTTGGGGATGGATTTCTTGATGGGGCTTTAAACGGCTCATAATAGGATTGGGGATGAACCGCTTTTTGGAAAATTAAAAGAATTAAAATTGTTTGGAAGAAATGAATCATGTTATGCGTTTTAAGATTCTGTTAAAACTAAATTATTGTATTTAAAACGTGGGCTTTAAAACAATGGATCATAATTTATCGACTTCGTTAAAATATTTCTATAGATACTTTTTTTCAATTGTGTCGTTATATTAATTTAAGTATCTAATTAACTTTCTTTATTAATGAAATCGTCGGCGTTGGAGGATTCTAGTGCCTCGCCTGCTTTGAAACATTATTCAAATCAAATAACTTTTTTCCCATAGGCTGTACAGCATCAAAATTGTAATGTGTAATATACAACATTATTCAAATCCATTACAAACATACAATAAACAAAACCATGTAAATAATCACCAGGGCACGGAAGTTTTGTAACAAAACGATACGATTTCCCCCCTCCACTCGTTCTCAGTGGCGTCCCTAGAAAAAAAATCTTGATTAAAAGAATACCATACTGTTCAGTGGGAAATTAAAATTTCAAGTTAGAAAAAAATTGTGTCAACAAAAATTGTTCCTGAAGCAATTCTTAACAAATATTGTTAAAAAAATTTTTTGATTTAATCAATAATTAAGGAGATAACCTCAAAATAATAATTTTTCCATTTTTATACATAATTACACTTAGACGCTTAATTAATAGAGATGTAAAATTTTTTTATTAAGATAATTGATTCAAAATCGAAATTGAAACAAATTTTATTTAAATCATTTTGTAATAAAAACAATAATTGTTGAGATAATTAATTTTGATAGCATACTATTCAGAGGGAAATTAAAATTTCAAGTTAGCAAAAAATTTTATTAACAAACACTGTTCCTGAAGTAATTCTAAACAAATTTTGTTAANGTCCCAGTTTTTCCTTCATCAAATAAGAAAGTTAGGGTAAGAAGTGATTGCGTTTTGCTGATTGTAGATTGTGTTTCAGGTGCGTTTCTTTTATAGACGCCGGCAGATATTGACGGACGAAAACTCGAAATAAGATAGGCCAAGGTTAGCTCTTTTCGAATATGTAAACCGTTTGTCGAATTTCCTTCTGATAACAGCTGCACAAGGCCTTAAAGTTGGAAAATGTTGAGGTGATTTAAATGCAATGTATCGCCGCTCTTATTATCAACATATCGGCGGACAAAAACACGGTTTAAGATATAGAAAAGATTAAGTTTTCCAACCGTGTGCTGAGTTTTTCGTTATCTTTCTAGATAATGAAGATATGGGCCCCAGAAACAGGTGGAAATATAAGGGAAAAAGTGTGTTGCTGGGCGGTTTGTTGCTATCGTCTCGCCGGTCTTTTCTCTTTAACAACATATTTGTTGATTTTTCTTTGCTTTTGTTGCGTTTGTGATGGTTGGAGTTTACCAATCTCGTTTTTTGATTTATTTTCAAGTATTAGTTGTTCATTTTTCGGTAATCGTTTCTTTTGTATGCCGTTTATTTGAGTTTTCAACACAGTTAGTTTTGTACACGAATATTATCTTTAATGTTTATTTTTAACAAGTATTAATAAGATTTAAGATTTTTTATTAACTGATTTTATTGATTTATTCGAGTTTCAATTAGAGCTGTTTTTTGGTCATATTGATAATTTCTGTTGGGTTGTTTTGGATAAAAGTTTTTACTATGTCGAATATCGTACAAAATTAAAAAACATGTTGTGACTTTTTCTCAAATTGTACATTCATACACTTTAGAAAAACTAGTGAGGGAATCATTGAAGCCGTTAAATTTATATACATATAATAACCGCTAATATTGAAGAATGTGGTAGTTCAATAAGAAATCTCACATCAGATGTACTGTTGATTTTGTTATAACGAATCTTCCAGCAAATGAAAAGCATAAGGTTCAGCTTTCTATCGGTGCATGTAATATTTTCAAATGTAATGAAAAAATGAGCATATTAACGAATTATTTTTCATGTACATAGCACACCTTGTCGATATTTTTCTCAGAAAAAAAGAAAAGATACTCAGATTTTACGTAGAAACCATAAATGCAACAAAAAGTTTCCTATTTAAAAATGTCAACATAGGGATTGTATCTTAATTTTGGGACACCTGTACATTTCAATTTTATCTCAAAAAATGCGCGTTAAAAACAATAACATAGATTAGAAATGAAAAGGTTATTTATTTGTACTTAACGATGTTAAGTTAATTAATAACATCGTTAAGTAAAAATAAATAACCTCCATTTCTAATATACAGTGTGTCCGTAAAGTAACGGATAAAGGCGATAAAATCATTATAAACGATTTATGGAAAAATTCCTGAAACGGGTCTAAAGATTTAAATTTTTTGCAATTGTTTGGTGTAGAATTTAAATTACTTCCGCCATTTTTAAGTGAGTTATGACGTCATCGGTATTTTTTTCAAATGGCAATCCCCCATTTTTATTACGGAATATGAAAGAAGATTTTTTTCTGAATCTAGTACAGTCAATATTAATGTTGCTTACATAAGAAAATTTTCGAGAAAAATTACTTTAAAGTTTAATTACTTCAGATTTGTTGACATGATGAAAATAGTAGTAGCCATGAGTAACTATGGTAACCAATTATTTTAAACAGTTTCCCAAGTGTCAAAAACTGATTTAGTAAAGCTTCTTGAAGTGTGGTGGCAAAACGAGCATTGACCCAACTCAACCCTTTAAAATAAACTGAAATAGGAATAGTTGTAATCTGAGCAAAGTGATCAGAGAAAACCGTGTGGATTACCCTGGAACTATTAGGTACTTCCATGTTAGTAAATAAGTATAATGCAAATAACAGTGGCTGACGAATTCTTCACACTGGTGCTATTGAAAATTCGCTGGTGAAGATCATGACATTGAAGAATATTTATTGTGTCTAATAATTATTATTGGGCTTTATAATGGGATTATAAGGAACTGCAAAATCTGTATTAAAATCCCCATACACAACCAATGGAACATGACCACTGTCAACATGGAGGAGTATTGAGGACTTAAAAGAAATCCGTCCGATTTGTATATTTTATTTGCTCCAAAATAAGTGTCAACTTTTAAAAAAAGTGAAATATAAGTACTACTATATTTTAATTATTTAATGTCATCTGTAGCAGCTTCTTTTGAACAAATTACATTTCTTTGTAATTGTCCAGTAGACCGTAATTTTTCTTTCTCTGTGTGAGGGATTTTGTAATTGTTACCTCCTTTATGAAGCATGGAGGACTCCATACATTTCTGCAGTGTCATAAAAACATCGTCTAATTTATATGCAGGTGTATCATCCCATGCCTTCAAAACAGCAGCAATTAATTCATCTAGATTATGCATCGAGCTTTTATGTTGTATAGACTGAATTGCATTAAAAAAGCATAAATCAAGAACATTAAAGTCAGGGCTGTTATTGGCTGACAAATCAAACTAATATTTAATCCATCAGCTGTTCCGGCTCGAATTACTTCACCATCATCTATAGTACAATGTGGTCGGGCATTATCTCGTTGAATTTTGATGGGCATCTTTTTGCTACCCTTCGGTCACTTTTCTTTTATAGAATAACTTTTTTGGTAATCATGTCCACATAAATTTGACGAGTAAGTTCAACAGGGGTTAGACTTTTAGAATTTCGTTTTGCTGGTTCTTGAGTTACAATAGGTCATAAGCCTATTTTACCATTAAATTCAGACTTTTTGTTGTAATCATATCTTGGACGAGCCATTGCAGCTTTTTCGGGAAGAAGGTAGCAGTTTGTCTTACTTTTGGTTATGTAAAACCATTTTTCATCAATATGAATAAACTCTAACATTTCTTGCAAATATAGGCTAGGTTCTTGTAACACACAAAGTGTAAATTCTAATCGACGCTTTTTATTGTCATCGGTCAAAACGGGTTTCAATGTACTTGAAATTCTCTTTATGACTCCTTCCTTGAAAATTTTGTGCACTGTTCATAATGACTCGTTAATATTGTTACAAAGACTGCGGATGGTTGATCTTTGTGCTATGGAAACTTCCGAGATTTTTTTTTTTATACCTTCTCTGTCTTTACGTTTCCTTCCAGAATTTCCTTTTTTCTTTGAGTCAACGTTAGCTGTACAAGATCCGACATTATAACCCTGTTTTGCTGTATTCCAAATTTTTGCTTAGGTACGTTTTTCAGCAGATATTGTCGCTGCTCGTTGCTTAAATTAGGTTTTTTCAACGCTCCTTTATTATTTCGTATATTTTCTGATATGATTTTTTTCAATTTTTATACTTGGCGGAGAATATATAAAATTAACTTTTTCTTGACCAAGATTTAGCAATTGACACTGGTTTAAATTTCTACTGTCATGATCAATGAACATGTGTTCTATATAAAAAAATTCATAATTGTACAACTTTTTTTTGTTTGTTCAATAATCCTATAAAAAATCTCAAAATGGACACTTATTTTGGAATAGAGGTAGTATAATAAAAAAATATAAAAGTAAACTTAGTATATTTTTATATACACACTTAAAATTCATATTAATAAAGCAACCACAAAAGACTCAAAAAAATAAATCGTATTTCAAAATAATTATAATAACAACAAAATCTTCCTTATTCTTGCGTTTGCAAAAAAACGTTTTTCCCTTCACTTTTTTCATTCAAATCGGATTTTTTAACTCCAGAAAATCCGGGAGATTCGCTTGGGGGAGATGTAAGCTCTAGATCTTTCAATTCCTTTTCTAAATCATCAACTTCTTCTTTCGAAGTTTTAGAATCTTTTAATTCTAATCCTTCATCTTTTTTCTCAGCGGTTTCTTCAGCAAGCAAATCTTCCAATTCTTCCTCTAATTCTCTATCATTAGCTATATCGGTTGTTTTAAACACCATTGCTTCTTGAATATCTTTTTGGACATCCATCATTTCTTCTAAATCAAGCATTGTATCGGATACCGCGTCTTCATTCAAACCTTTTTCGTTGAAGGTTCTTCGAAGACCCGCCAAAGCTTTTTGATATGAAGCTAAAACTTGTCCGTCTGTGTCGGCATCTTTTAATCTTGAAATCAATATTTGAATATTGTGTAAAGCGTGAACTCGTTTTTCGATTGTGCGTTCAAGTTCGTGTTTTTTTCTTAAAGAAATTTTTGCCTAAAATATAAAAATTTTATTTGCAGGTATAAAAAATATATTTTTTTTTTTGGAAAAATTCAAGAATCATCATGTGGCTTAAAAATCGACGATTTTTCTTTTAATCAATGTGAAATTACCCAAAAGACTCGTTAAAAATAAAAAGAAAGTGCGGAAAAGTATAGAACATACCGAAAAATTAAAGTTTCGATGTGACGTCACGTTTTTTATCGCAAGGCTAAACCCGAATGTTTCTAGTTCTAATTCTAGTGTTGGTTCTAGTTTTAGTGCAATAAAAAAATGCAACATAGTGATATCTTAGATTAACTTCGTAAACATAGAAGAAGAGTTAGAGCTGGACTCAGATCACTCACCAGTAATTATTATTCTAAATAACAAAGTATGTAACAAAGAACCCTTTTTATCACTAACTAATAAACTCACTAATTGGAATCTATTTCAACAAACATTGGATAACAAAATTCATCTTAATGCTCTTATGAAAACAAACGAAGACATTGACAATGAAGTAGAAAAGTTCTTAAAAGACATACAAAATGCAGCCTGGGCCTCAACACCAATTTTAACAGCAAAACCTAAATCTAATATTTAGTCGAAATTCATGAAGAGACAAAATTGCAGAAAAACGGAAAGCAAGAAAGAAATGGCAAACCAATAGAATTCCTAGTAGTAAAACTAAATTAAATAAAATAACAGTCGAATTAAGAGCATTAACAGATGGCCACAAAGATAATAATATTCAAAATTACTTAAAAGACCTTACTGACGATGCCAGTACTGATTATTCTCTGTGGAAGGCAACAAGAAAGCTTAAAGCTCCAAAAACACATACGCCTCCAATTCGAAAGAATAATGGAAGTTGGGCTAAGAGCAATCAAGAAAACGTTAATTTGTTTGCTGAACATCTGAAAGAAACTTTTACATCAGACAGTCCAACAGTTATGCTAAATAGTGTCCCTAGCGTAATTCAAAGTGATCAGCAGAGTAATATACCACGTGTAAGAATGAAAGAACTGTATTATGAAATACAAAAACTAAATATAAAGAAATCAGTAGGCTATGACCTAATTAATGGAGAAACATTGAAACATCTACCAAAACGGGCGATTACAAAACTATTACACATAATTAATGTTGCTTTTAAATAGAAATATTTCCCAAGCATATGGAAAGTTGCTGAAATAATAATGATACCAAAACCTGGTAAACTCCCCACAGATGTTACATCATATAGACCAATCTCATTATTACCCTTACTATCAAAACTGCTTGAAAAATTACTACCAACACATCAATTTGGGTTTCGGAATAAACATGTAACAATAGACCAAGTGCATGGAATAACGAATACTATCGAAATAGCAGTGGAAGAAAATAAAGTCTGCTCCGCCGTATTTTTGGATGTTGCACAAACTTTGGACAAAGTCTGATTAGATGGTTTAAATTACAAATTAGACCAAATACTACCATCAACGTATAGTCAACTATTAAAATCGTATCTTTCTGATCAATATTTTAAAGTAACATACGAAAACGCTTATTCACCAATACATGAAATAAGAGCCGGAGTTCCTCAAGGAAGTGTGCTTGGCCCAACATTGTACTTACTCTACACATTCGACCTTCCTCAGGTACCAGTAACATTAACAGCTACATTCGCAGATAACACAGCGATCTTGGTTGTTGCAGAAAATGAAGTAATTGCAGCAAATAAGTTACAAACGATGGCTAATAAAACTAAATACAAATAAATCGACGTACATAAACTTTACTTATACGAAAGTAAACTATGTCTCAATACACATAAATGGCAATGCAGTCTCTTACGCCGACACCGCAAAATATCTTGGTATGACGCTGGATGCAAAACTCAAATGGAAAGCTCACGTCAAGAAAAACGTGAGGAACTTGATATCAAATTTAGACACCTATATTGGCTTATTGGCAGAAAATCAACGCTATCACTAAGAAACAAGTTGCTAATATATAAGCAAGTATTAAAATCAAAATGGACATAAGGAATCCAACTGTGGGGTTGTACCAAGACAAATGCAAGTCTGATTCAAAGATTCCAAAACAAAGTACTAAGGTGTATAATGAATGCACACTGGTATATAAAAAACACAGACCTCCATCCCGACTTGAAAGTAGCATCGGTGTCATCAGAAATTGCATCATTCGTATCTAAACATGAGAAGCGAATTCATGATCATCCCAACATCGAGGCCATCCAGCTTCTCGACAACGAGGATGTCCTGCGTCGCCTTCAGAGGATGAAGCCGTTCGATTTAGTGACCTAGTGCCCAAGTCGATTCAAACGCGAGCAATAGTGCGTAACCAAAACAATAATACCCTAAACGTGTGTTTCGCGTATCGCAATGTGCGCGTTTCTGTGTTTTGGTCTTAAAACGGTAAAAATGTGACAATATTTTTCTATATTATGGGTAAAGCAGACTGGACCATTGGGAAAAAAAGTTTATCTACAACTATTGAATTATCTATTTGTTATTCATGTGTCTAACAAGTTTATTTTTTTTAGTAGATAAAGTATAGTATTCAACTTGTGTATAATGGATGTTATCCACTCAGATTAACTGCCGCCATTATACGCTTGTTGAATAATATACTATTGTTCTAATTACTGAACATTTCTACGTAACATATGTTAACTTGAAAATTTTCAGATTCGCGAGTCAAATGAAAAAAGTACCCGATTTTTTACGGTACCGACAACATTGTCAACTTCGCGATTTTTTTTCTCCAACATTATCGTAAAAAGAAATTTGAATTTTGAACACGTAGTAGTATAATGTAGCCTTAGTAAGATGCCGTTATGTCGAAATCGGCTGGGTGGATTTCCTCGCGGATTTGATCAAAATATGTCAAATAATTGCGTTTATCGGATACCGTTATCAGTTTTTCAAAGTTATGTCTCTCTAATTTTCTTAGAGCGATTTAAGTGAATTATAAATTAAAAAGAAACAGAAATAAGCTCTGCGAGGAGAGGGGGGTTCCGTCCAATCGGAAAAAATGGTGCGTTCCAGACAGTACGTCGCGCCTTTATCTTACGATCATATCAAAATCGTCCGATTGGTCGAAACTAGTGATGTAAAAAAAGTAACAATTCGTTATACGAGTACTCGTTACTCCGCGAGATCCGAAGTAACTGTTACTGTATCACATCGGTACCAGTTATTTTTTCCAAAGCTGGCCAAGTATTGTTGGATAGGCGAAATCGAATTAAAAGTCGAAATGTGCAACAAAATTTATTTTTACATTGCAATAATAAGCTGTAATATCTTTTATTGTTGTTTTAATATTTTTATTTTATTTTATTATTGCTTGTTTTATAGAAGAAGTTTTGTTTTCCATTGTTAATGTGTTACTACTTTCAAATATTTTTGTTATATAATAAGTGAAACGTAAGTTATTAATAATTAAATAATAATAATAATTAAGAAAAATTCTTTGTTATAATATGCAGTGAATAATTCTATTTTTTGATATTAGTGCACAGTGCATAATAGCGTAACAAACACAATTAATACGTACAGTATTTGTTTTCAAAAATAAGTGTAATATAAAATAAATTTATATACATAAGTATGTAGTCCAACTAAAACGAGTACTCTATCGCAAACGAGTAATCGAACCTCGAGCGCAAACTAGTACTGGAACCTCAAGCGCAAACGATTACTTGTAACGAGTACAAAGTAACGAATACTTTTTCTGAAAATAGTTACATCACTAAACTTAACATCACTAGTCGAAACCCTCCTCTCCCCGCATGGCTTATTTCTGTTCCTTTTTAATTTATAATTCGCTTAAATCGTTCTAAAAAAATTAGAGAGACATAACTTTGAAAAACTGATAACAGTATCTGACAAACGCAATTATTTGATACATTTTGGTTAAAACCGCGCGCGATTTGAAATCCACTCAGCCGTTTTCGACATAACGGCGTCCAACTAAATCGCGAATTTCCGCCAAACTATATGGAATAGCGTAAAAATAAAATATGTCCCTTATTAAGAACACATCAGACTACCACCTGTTCAAAATTTAAATTTTTTCGTTAGATAGTTTTCGAGAAAAAAAATCGCAAAGTTGACAAAGTTGCAGGTACCGTAAAAAATCGGGTACTTTTTTATTTAACTCGCCATAAAAAGAAAACCGCGGATCCGAAAATTTTCAAATTAACATATATTACGTGGAAATGTTTAATGATTACAACAAACTTTGTCGCAATTTTTTTTATAGAGCGGTTGCGAAGATATCGATCTCTAAAGTGAGGGGCCTTGACTTTTTGCACTGATAGTAGTGATAGTGTAAAACTAGAACTAACACTAGACCTAGAACTAGAAAGTATCGAATGTTTCTAGTTTTAGTGCAATAAAAAAATGTAACATAGTGATATCTTATGCTAATTAGCGTTTCCTACCTCTGTTACTAGAACTAATAACACATCTTTCAAGATGACTAAACCCAAATGATTCTAGTTCTGGGTCTTGTGCTAGCTCTAGTGATAGTGTAAAACTAGAACTAACACTAGACTTAGAACTAGAAACTATCGCGTTTAACCCAACCACAAAAAAGTGACGTCACGTCGAAACTTTAAAGTGATTTTTTGGTAAGTTTTACACTTTTCCACTTTTTTTTTATTTGTAAAGGCTTACTTGAATGATTTCCCGTGGATTAAATAAGCGACATGATGATTCTTGAATTATACCATTTTTTTACCAATTGCTTCTTTCCGGCTAATAAATAATTTTTAACTTCCTTGATTAATTTATTCGCTTGTTCTTCTAGTTTATCAACAGTTTCCAAAAGGGTTTTTTCACTAACCTCTAAAGTATATAAATCAACATCACCATCGGTTATATCACAAAAATTTTTATTACAAAACTTAACCAATGTAACAATTTCTCGTCCACTATGAACCTCTTTCAGACTAATTTTTTTTTCACAATTCAAATAATGAATAATAAAATGCAAATTTTCATCATTTTTGATCTCTAAAACTTTAACCACCTCCTTTAAATCGATAACTTTCATATCAAAATCTTCTGGAAGATTGTTACACAATTCCGTAGCATTCTTTTCAATTGCCAAAACATGAATATATCTCACATTTGTATCTGGTGTCATAACTGAATCCTTCAATTTCTTAAATGACCATACAACAGGTTTTTTAATAAAAGTATCTGCTGCCCAAGAACCCCAAGTTTCAGACGGTTTCGTTAAAAAATCCCCAATAGGTTTAATTTCAGAACTTTTCACCATATCATCAACAACCACATTTAAACAAGCAGGTGGCCGCCCGTTTTTCGTAAAAATCTTAGTAAGTTCTGGTAAAGTAAACGAATATTTTTCGTGGTGTGTGCAATAAATAAACGTAAGGTTCTTCCAAAAATGCATTTTCGTATCCCAATCTTTCGGATTAACTGAACGGCTTCGAAACGGTGCGAAAAGCACGTTAAGACGAGCCTCGTCGTTCCAACTTGCCGGTAATTTATCTTCCGGGAGCAAATCGGTCATTTTATTGCTTTTTTAATCACAAAATTGAACAATTTAGAAACACATAACCTTAAAAATTTTTTTGACAGAAAAATCAACCGTCAACGACGAAAATATGATGTGTAAGTTAATTTATAAAAAAAACTTTAAAATATAAAGTATTTTAACGTTATTAATTTCCGGTTGTTATTAATTTTTAAAACTTTTAATCACAAATTAGGCGATTTCAAAATGATATAAACATAACCTTAAAATTATTTCTGATTATTTGACAGCTTAAAACGTCAACGTAATATTTACAATAATGGTATATTTTAAATTAATTTTTTTAGAAAATTCGTTAATTTATGTAATTTTTAGGATATAACTTCGTTTTCGGATGAAAATTTTGACACCAAAGAATGGGTTAATAAGATTTTGCAGAATGCTGATGTTCAAGATAAAAAAGAGGTTAGGTGATGAAAACATAACCTATAAATATTAATTTTTTTTTAAAATTTTTTAGTCGTACACGATGTCTTTAGTTATGAAACTACAATTATACGTGCAACAAGTTAACGCGGCGTTAGAAGACACCAGCCAACAAGTTTTTATGTCTCTACCAAAGATTTTGCGAGATACGAAAAATTTGCAGCAAGAAGCTTTATCGTTACAAGAGAAAATGAGTGTTGTTAAAGAGGAAATTCGTCAAATTGAGGAAGATACGGGTTCATCTATTGCTAGTATTGAAAAATTAGATAAGGTTAAGCATCAATTGGAGGTTGCTAAACAAGGTTTACATGAAAGTGATAATTGGACGGTTTTAGGTAAATTTTTGATGCTTTTTATTAAAAATTTGGAAAAGTTCATTATCATGTGGCTTAAAAATCGACGATTTTTTTTTAAATCAATGTTAAATAACCCAAAAAACACGTTTAAAATAAAAAGAAAGTACAAAAAAGTGTAGAACATTTCGAAACATCACATTAATGTTTTGATGTGACGTCACAAGCAATGTTAACTGGTCAACCTAACCTAAAAATTGTTTATTTTATAGCCACATACAAAATCAATCTGATAACCTTAAAAGTAAAGTTATTTGCACTAAACTAGGTGAGATTACAACGTATATTTACGGATGAAACACCCTTTTCTTAGGCTTTTGATGCATAACGACTGTCTACCTGTTGTTAGATAGACTGGGTGCCAATAGACTCTGTGTTAATACTAGAACTAACACTAGACCGAAAACTAGAAACGTTCGGATTTAGTCATATGTCTTTATAATAATAATAAGTTTATTTTGAAAAAAAATTTACTAATCAAAAACGTCATAAAAGTGAAGTATGTACCATTATACAAATACAAGAATCATCATAAAAATAGTAAATTACATAAAGTTACTCTTATATTATAAAAGTAAGCGAATAAATTACAGACACAATTTCGCCACATTTAAGTAATTTTAATCGACGCCAGTACAAAGGTCGCAGTTATAAAAATCTTCTAGAGAATACAAGCATTTCGATATTAACATATTTTTAACTCTTGAGTTAAATTTCTGGGGATTTAACAATTTGAAATTGTTAGACATTTTATTGTTGTGTTACATTTAATCTATGAGTTGGTAACTCAAAAAGATCGTTATAGCGAGTGTTATAACTATAACTATGTAGTTGACAGTTGGTTGCCAAGATATAGGTGGCAGGAATAGTAAGAATACACTGCCTTTGAAACAACAACCTACAAGTCTCATTTGTCTTAACGTTATCAAGGGCACGTACACACCGTTTTTGTAGAAGACACACTCTTCCCACATGTGAAGCTTACCCTCAAACTGCTATACTGTAAGCTGCAACAGAGTGAAAGCACGAACAGTATGCCGCCCTAGCGGCCTCAAGACCAGCACAAACCCTTAATCTGCGCGTATCTCTTGCGTGCCACTTACATAGCCAATCGATGTGACAATTCCAACTCAACATCAGATCAAAATGCAAACCCAAAAACTTTCCGCTTGATTCTTCTCGTTGAAAAAATTTCATACATTGAGTTTTCTCATTATTTAGTACCAATCTATTTGCTCTCATCCAATCAGTCATCATGTGCAGAATTTCGGTACTTTTGTTATTAATAAATTCCACTGTACTATCTCGCACTACAAACGTCGTGTCGTGATAGAAAGCGCTAGTTAGCATAAAATATCAATATGTTGCATATTTTTATTACACTAAAACTAGAACTAACACTAGACCTAGAACTAGAAAGTATCGGGTTTAGCCGTACGTCTGAAGAACCCAACTCGGAATTTACAACCCGCCCTCTGCTCCATGCCCAACCCGACATTTGAGAAATTCGCATTGCCTTAAATGTTAATTAACCTAACTCAAAGTGGAATTTCTACACAAAATTCTGAAATAAATCAGGAAATTAGGTGGATCCGAATGTAACGTTTAAAGAGATAAAAAGATATGTCGCATCTGGGTGACAAAGAATGGACTGTTGTAGGAGCAATTTTTAAATCTGTAATAGAAGAGACTCAGAAAGATATCACTCAACAGAAGAATAGTTTCAGTAAATAGTCTTCAGCCAGTAGTATTAAATCTCCAAGCACTTAGTAGTGTTTTGGCAGCAGTATACGGGGTGTTTCATAATATATGCGCAGGACTTCAGGATGTGATAGCTTGTCCAAAAATTTGAAAAAAAGTTTCTATCAAGTTACCCTCTAAAATGCACCATTTTCGAGATACAGGGCGTTGAAATTTAATAAAAAAAACAACTTTTGTATCACTTTTTTATTTTTTTTATTTTGCAATTATGAAGTTAACGGTTGCTTTTGTTACTTGTTCTAACGTTTACATAAATTTTGTTTAATTGTAAAATAAAATTTTTATTTCAAAAAATGTACCATGTTTTTCAACATAAAAGTTGATTTTTCTAGAAAACGAACAAGTTTAAAGCTCATGACTTACAGTAAATGGGCGTCTCAAAACCGTGCTTTTGCCAGTGGCGTAGAAGTTGGGAAGAAAAACAACCACTACCCTTTCAAAATCCTCACCAATTATGACTTTAAAAAATTTTTTTCTCGCACAAAACTTAGCTTATTATGAGCAGAAAATGCTTACAAACGTTGTTTGTTCAATCCTACCTTCAAAATTGTCACTTTCTAACTTGGATACGAGTGTTGAAAGTTGTTATGTGCATTCACTCTGCTAAGTTTCTTAGAAATTAGTGAGTGAACATTTTTATCGCTCACTCTAAATTTTTCAACCACTGTTAGCATAATATAAAACCTTTAAAAGAACAACTTTTTGTTTAAACGTAACGGATGTTAACTAAAAAACGATGGATATCACTGTGAAACGTAGAGACGCTTGCAATGCAATCCTAACTGCTGTACCCCCCGGCACAGTTGTGTGGACTGAAGATATACTAGGGAGAGTGACCGTAAACTTCTTGAAAGACTTAATATGTGTATTGCTCGTCAAGGCCTTCACTTGGACGATATTATTTTTAAAACATCGTAAAAAAAAACGGTATTATTTATTTATTTATTTGAACAAGAGAACAACAACGGGGACGAACCTAATAAAGTTGTTACACAACATACATTTCTAAAACAAGCTTAAGGACAGAGCATTAAGGCATTACAATCATAGCGATACGGCAGGTGAAGATATAATGGCGGTTCTGATGTTGCGCTTGACACTAGCTGGAATGTACGCGAATAAATCGCAATTAATGCGATCAGCGTTACGCTCCATATAAGGGAATTCCGATAAGCATTTGTTCGCGGCATAGGTGCATAAAACAAGAAGTCATATCGCAGTTGCGCGGGGAACATGAAAATCGATCCTAGCCAGTAAAGACGGTAATCAGAAAGACCACTGACAAGTCTGAACAGAAAATGTACGTCATTATATGCTCGTCGTTGACGGAGAGTCAGAAATCCGAACATCTCAGCTTGCGGGATAATCCACATATTCACGTCTGGTTTTGTAGCAAAGATATTTAATTAAACATTTTTGAACTTTTTCTAACCGCTCGATGTAAACCATCTTGTGGATTCCAGACAATGCTTCCAAAGTTTAAGACACTGCTAATATAAGCAGTATACATGCTTATAATTGCACTTGCGTTTGTGAAATACTCGGTAGATCGTTTTATAAAGCCTAACATTCTGTAACATTTTATTACCACTCCGTCAACATGTCTGTCAAATATCAGCTTCTGGTCGAGTGTTACACCAAGATCGACGGTGTGCGTCACTCGACGTAGGCCTTCCGTACCAATACAATAGTTATATTTGATGTAACCGCGTTTTTGAGTAAATGAAATTGTATGGCATTTGGCAATACTTAGAATAAGGTGATTTCCAACACAGAACTGGTCAAGCCTGTCAAGGTCAGTCTGCAACTTCACACAATCATCTGTGGTCCGAACCGGCAAGAAAATTTTTAAATCATCAGCATACATTAAACAGTGTGAATTGGTTATACAAGAGAATATATCATTAAATATATTAAAAGTAGTAGTGGTCCCAGGTGACTGCCCTGAGGCATACCAGAAGTCACTATAGATGGATGCGAAGAGTAGTACCACTTGGGTGCGTTCGGACACGTAGGCACCAAACCAACGCTGCAAGCCACCCGTCACGGCAAAACATCGTAGCTTATTTAACAGTATAGTGCGGTCCATCTTATCAAATGCCTTGCTAAAATCAGTATATGTACTTTTGAGCAATAACACCTTTTTTATTTATCTTGAACCGTTGTTTTACAATTAACCCTTCAAATCAGGAACTGCATTCTGCCCTACCCTATATATCAATTAAGAGCATGACAATGTTAAAAAATGCTGTCGTCGCCGACATATCGACATGAAATTATTCAGGAAATATCGAATTTTAAGACGGGTTTTCTCTAAATGTAGGATTGAACAAAACGCTGTACAGCACACGTAGGAAACTAATATTTTCCACTAACTTGTATGTCTTTATACACTCGAATTCAGCTTGTGTGGAAATCCGACATACGCGTTAAAAAATCATCGTTTCCTCACTTGTACTGTAATATACTATTTCTGTGCGATAAACGGTTCCGATATTCGCGAAAAACGATTTATTTTATTAAATGTCAACACCTTGCATCTCGAAAATGGTGCATTTTAGAGGGTATGTTGATAGAAACTTTTTTTAAAACTTTTGGACAAGCTATCACAAGAAGTGCTGCGGATATATTATGAAACACTCTGTATAGTATTCTGAAAGCATTAAATAGTCTTTGCCAACAATATCTAGCTTTCTCCAAGCAATTAGTGGGTCTTTCCGACAATATTTAGCATTCTGAAAGTAGTTAATAGTCTTTTGGAAACAGTATCTTCTCTTTCCTAGCAGATAATAGTTTCTTCCGGCAGTACTTAGTTTTCTCCAAGCAGGTCGTAATCTTTTCTAGCAGTATATAGCGCTCTGAAAGCAGTAAGTAGTCTTATGGAAGCAGTATCTTTTTCTTTCCAATCAATTTGTAATTGTTTGCTAGCACTATCTAGTCTTTTCCAAGCAGATTGTAATCTTTTCCACCAGTATCTAACATTTTGGAAGCAGTAGGTATCTTTTTTGGAGAGCATATCTCTTTTTTCCAAGTAGTTGTTAGTCTTTTCCAGTAGTGTCTAGCATTCTGTCAGCATTAGGTAGCTTTCTGGAGAGCATATCTCTTCTTTCCAAGCAGTTATTAGTCTTTTCCAGCAGTATCTAATATTCTGGAAGCAGTAGGTAGCTGGAAGCTTTTTAGAAAGCATATCAGTCTTTGAAAGCAATAAGTAGTCTTGGAAGCAGTATTCCGCCTGTCCAACTAGGTCAAAACCTTTAACAGCCAGCAGTGTGTAGCGTTGTAGAAGCAATAGGTATTATTTTGAATACAGTATCTAATCTTTTCCAAGTAACTTGTGGTCTTTTTCTGTAGCATCTGGCATTTTAGAAGCAGTAGATAACTTTTTGAAATAGTATTTTCTCTTTCCCAATGGTTTTTAGCCTTTTACTATTTATATTCTGATAGTAAGAATTAGCCTTTTGCCAACAGTATCCAGCATTTAGGAACCAATAAGTTAAAGAGGGGGTATTCCATCAGGTATAGATTTTAGGTTATCTTTAGTTTATAGATGATAAACAACGACATTTTAATAGTTGTGCGTTGAAAACCTAAGAAACAACCTTAAAAATATGCGTTTTATCCAAATGTGTTGCGAAAATATATACACTTTTTTATTTGTAACGGCTTACTTGAGTAATTTCGCGTCGATTAAAAAAAATTGATTTAATTTTATTCTATTTGTGTAGTGAATGATTTAGAAGAAATCTTTGATTCGAAAGATATCGATAACATAACCAAGAAAATAGTTGGTATGCAAAAATCGTTGAAGCTTTTAGTCAACATTGAAGATTACGAGGAACGAAAAGAGCAACTTGAAGGGTTAAAAAATCGTTTAGAAGCTATCGCAAGTCCGTTTATTGTTCAAGCTTTCACTTCTAACAATATCGGTACGATTTAATATAATAATTAAATTTTTAATTAACTATTTTGTTTTAGATCAATCGATTGTATACTCAAAAATATTTTCATCAATTGATCGTTTACCCCAACTCTTAAAGTATTATCACAAATGCCAAAAAGATGTTTTAGTAAAAAAGTGGCGTTATCAACTTGAAATAGAACAAGACGAACCAATAACGCAATTAATCCACAACTATTACGACGTCTTACTGTCAAATTGGCACACCCAATCGAAATGGTTAAACCAAGTTTTTCCATCACAATCATCTGTTGACTCATTAATCGATATTTACATCGATGTTTTTGCTAGTTTAGATCCGAGTCCGTCGGAATGTGTTGATGCTGCTATTAAGCAACAAATTGATAAATTAGGGTTTTTACATGAAATTAAAGTAATAATTAAACAATTTGGGAATAATATAATTGAGGTTATTAATAATATGGGTGGAAAAACGGGGATTAAAAAAGAAAAATTAACTTCGTTGCTAGAATTAATTTATTCACCGTTAGTTGTTTACGTTTCAAATTACTCAGTTTATGAACAACACGTTTTAACGCAAAAATTGTCGCAAATAAAATGTATTAAAGTAGAATTACCAGATACCATCCAAGCTTTGGGTCTTACAATTCCATCCGTTATTAATTTAGCTCGAGATGCTAAAAAGCGTTGTGATGAAATAACCGAAAATTGTGGTTATTGCGGATTATTAAAAGCTTTAAGAGTTTTTTTAACAAATTACGCCGATCAATATCGCGTCGCCTTACGGCAAATTGATCGAAATAAACGCGGTTCTGGAGAAGAGGATTGGACGAATTTTCAACTTTGTTTCTCTTTATTACAAAACACTGGTGATGTTTTAATGAATTTACAAAAATTAGAGAAAGATTTAACATTGGCCGTTTTAAATTTTAACAAAAAAGATGACTCATTCCCCGTTGAGTTCAAATATTTAATGTTAAATCAAACCGAAAGGAAAGAATACGAATCATTGGTTAAATGCGTAACGGAAGGAACTAAATTGAGTTTGTTGGATCACGTTATGAATGAGTTTAATAAATTATGTACTGATATACATAATGTGACTTATCAAGTTGTTTTTGGTCCAATTTCCGGTTATTTGAATTCGGTGTCTTCGAGTAAAACTTGGGTTCAATTTGATGATCCTTCGTTTATGGTGGATTTACCGGATTATAGTTTTTCACCGCAAGAATATATCACTCAAGTAAGGTTATGATTAAAAATGTTTTCTTTTTGTTTATTTTTGTTATTATAGATTGGCCAATATTTAATAACGTTACCACAACATTTAGAGCCGTTTTTGTTCCGTGAAAATCCATCTTTAGAGTGCGCTTTAAAAGCTTCCGATCCCGAGTATATTAATATCGAGGATGTTGAGGGCGCTTTAGCCGATGTTTTTTTAAAAATCATAGCGAGGGGGACTTGTCAAAGTTATTGCGACCAAATTTTAACGATTTTTGAATTAACTCCAGCTGCTAGTAGACAATTAGCTCATGATATTAGTAAGACAAGACATCATTGTTTTATTTGGTATTGTTAAACTTTTTTTTTGTATTTTTAGATTATCTTGGAGATATTTTGAAAGATTTCAATTTAAATTTAACGGAAAACTTGAAGCAATTAATGTCGTTATTGAAAATTCCTGTTGATCAATATTTACAACAAAGTGCCGGATATACAGCTCGTTATGTCGCCACAATTAGGCAAATGAGAAATATTAAATCTTCTGGTTAAGTACAAACTTTTTATTTTTAAGAATCTCTGAAACCATTCCAAGTTTTTCTTCCTATTCATTCATGTTTAGCTGTCTTGAAAGACGTGTGGCTAAACTCGAATATTTCTAGGTCTAGTATTAGTTCTAGTTATACATTATCACTAGAATTAACACAAGACCTAGCACTAGAATCATTCGGGTTTAGCCGCCTTGAGAGACGTGCGGCTAAACCCGAATGTTTCTAGTTCTAGGTGTAATGTTTGTTCTAGTGACAGTCAGAGGTACCGCTAGTTAACATAAGATATCACTATGTTGCATAATTTTATTGCCAAACTAGAACTAACAGTAGAACTAGAAAATATTCAGACGCATGGCTAAACTCGAATGTTTCTAGTTCTAGTGTTAGTTCTAGTTTTACACTACCTCTGGAACTAACACAAGACGTAGCACTAGAATCATTCGGCTTAAGCCGTCTTGGGAGACGTGCGGCTAAACCCGAATGTTTCTAGTTCTAGTATTAGTTGTAGTGTTATACTATCTCTAGAACTAACACAAGACCTAGCAATAGAATCATTCAGGTTTAGCCGTCTTGAGAGACGTGCGGCTAAATCCGAATGTTTCTAGTTCTTGGTCTAGTGTTAATTCTAGTATTGCACTAGGACTGTCACTAGAACTAGAATCATTCGGGTTTAGCCGTCTTGAGAGACGTGCGGCTAAACCCGAACGTTTCTAGTTCTAGGTGTAACGTTTGTTCTAGTGACAGAGATAGGTACCGTTAGTTAGCATAGGATATCACTATGTTGCATATCTTTATTGTACCAAAACTAGAACTAACATTAGACCTAGAAAATATCTGGTTGAGCTGTGCATCTCTTAAGACGGCAAAAAACTCAGGGTTATGATAAGGACGTTATTTTCCAAGCAAAATTTTTCTTTTGCAAAACTACCCAATGCCTGTACTATTAAGCTATGTTGCATTTTATGTGGGACAGTGCAAGTGCATAATATAGTAGAAACCACGAGAGCTGGCAGTGACAGATCGCTTAAAAATGGTATGAATCAAGATATGGACGTACGACTTAGATTATTTCATCACATACATTTAAATGTAGGTTATGTTAGTAATGGAGGTTATATGTCAAACCAAGGTCTGTAGAACATAAGGTTACCTAATTCCCTATGCCTCTGTAGTATCGAGTATTACCCCGCAGATTGACGTCACTGGTTCGATACAGTCAGAGTAAAAGATAGCCTATACATGCCTATACTGTGGTACAGTCTATATAAAATATTTAAACCTCACATCGTGTTGTGTTGTGCATAGAACCAGCTACGTCACTGACCCACCTTGCCTCTCAGAGGAGGAGAATCGGTATTGGGTAACCTTATGTTCTATAGACCTTGATGTCAAACATTGTCAAAGATATTATTTAATGATTTTCTTTTCAAAGAAAACATTTTCGGCTTGTGAAAATACTAACAGATTCATGACAATGCTCACAAGACGTTTCGATTTGAGGTTATAGACACAGATGACCAGATGCTTAACTTATACCGCTCTCATTTGGACCTCATATTCTATCTCTCTCTAGAGAATTGAAACTGTGTAGATGGCGGTAGTGTAGTCGATCGATAAATACGAGCGGGAATTTGAATGCTCGTTTAAATAAAAATCTCATTACTCTTTAAATTTTTTTTTAATAATAAGTTCCAAAAAATCAAAAATTGTCATCTCAAAACTTGAACAAGTTTTAAGATGAAAACAGTGATTTTTTTGGACTTGTTATTAAAAAAAACTAATAAAAAATTATTAAATAAAAATGCAAATTTCAGAAGAAGAAATCTATGTATATTTATAGACAAAAATTTACAACTATAAATTTTTAAATATTTAATCGTTTTCATGGCAAAAGGGTGCGTTTTTGTACAATGGTAAAGCATTTGCTTCAAGGCTAGAGGAAAACCCATGAAAAACTCTAGCATACCATAAGTCAAATAAACTTCTAGACAAATTTAGGAATACGAATTGTTATTGTAAACAACAGATTTAAGACAGCCAGAATAAAAAAATACTACAGAGCAACTAAAATTACAAGTATTACAGCGAAAATGAGCAGTACACAGTATTAGTGATAAAATGTTGTTTTAGTTATAAAATAATTATTGTTTCCGAATTAACAATTGATATAAAACTTTAATATTTCTTTTTATTTGTTTCTGTTCCTATCAATTAAAATGCAAAAATATTTGAAACTTAATTAATGCTTTATTATTATTACTATAACTTAAAGTTAATCTAATATTAAAGTGAGCGAAACAATAACAAACCTAGCAAAATTTATCAGCACTAAAACAAAACAAAAGGAACAGGATTCATGTAACATGCTTTAGTCTTAGTCATAGTTTTAAGTTCTTAGTTCATCATTTATCATAATCATGGTTTGCATTGCTTTAACTATAATCACAACTAAGACTTAAATATATTGCCTTAATTCATGATTAGATAATTGGAAAGTAAACATTATTACCTTTAAAAACCTGAGTAAAATATTCTGGTTTGTTTAACATATCTCTCAGTAATGTGGTTTTATTTTCATAATTCTTCTTAAGTCTCCAGATCTGTTTCTCTTTGTTCTTTAAAATTCCTATTCAACATAAAACTTTCCATTGTAAAATGATTATTGCAAATTGTCATTCGGCTAGAATATATGTTTTCTACAGGAACACCAAGGCACTCATTCCATGATCGCTGTCTAAAATATCAAAGTAAATTTTCATTTAGTACAAAAAATCTATCTAACTTAAATTTATAAATGTACTTATTGGTATTTAATGGAAATCAAAATAACTTGACCACTTCCTCTACCGAACGTCCGCAAATATAGCAAATCCTATCCATTTTGGTCCTTACTTTACCACCAAAAACCAACTAATTCTAAGATAACAAAGTATGACAATAAAACTAAGGAAAACTAAATTATGCAAACAAATAAACTGCTAAACAAATCTATAATCAAACGATACAGATTTGTTTAGTAGTTTATATAATCAAACGATAAACACGCAAAACTGCACAATAATTAAACAAAACACAGAAAGTTCGTTAGTTCTGACAGAACTGGACGTAACTGTGGGATTTACAGATTTACTACTTAAAATACATAGCGCCATCTATTGCTTTCTCTTAACTCTACGAGTTAAAAATTTTGAAATAAGTGGTGCCATCTATTGGTTTGTTTAAATACTACTGTAACGCGACAATTGCGCCATCTACACAGTTTCAGTTTATGTGAGAGAGAAAGTACCATACGCATTTTTCATTTGTTGAACAAGGATAGATAGGAGTGCCAATTTATTAGCCGGAGTCCGGCCTCTGTATACTCTGTGGTTATAGAGTTACATTCCTTGGAAGAACAGACATACTTTTTCGACGTGGCCATTTGAATTGCACAGCAGACATATTAATCTAATGCTATCTTTTTCTAACACACATTACTCTCTAGCGACTTGTGAACTACGTATGGCATTTGTAAGAGCGGAAAACGATGACGAGCTCTCGTGGCGTCTACTATAGTTTCGTAACTATGGTTACAGCATTCATGTATTGTGAGTTATATGAAATTCCCGGTATAAATCGCTATTATTATAAGTAAATTAACTCTCTGGTAGGTGATATTAATGAATTAACTTTATCAAGAGGTGAATATATGATTATTTTGGGAAATTACTCTTATTTTGTTGTAACGCTAACAGACACTTTATGTGATGATGAATATACCTGGCGTTTAATAATAATAAGATTATCTTTGTCCACGACTACCTTATAATATATACCTTATGAATGAGTTTTCTAAAACAAAATGGTAGTCATTTTTCACGGAGTGAATAATAGCGGTGAATAATAATCATTATTCACGGGTAGCCATCTTGACCAGACTAATAATAATTATTTGAAACGTTAAAAGTTCAAAAAACGTCAATTTAATTCAATTTTTTAGGAGTTTCTAAATGTTTGACATTAAAAAAACCTAAACAAATTCCTTTTTTCGTATGATTTAAGCATAAATTAATTAATTTTCGTAAAGAAAACGACGTTTTATAAAACTGACACTTAATTTTGACAAATTGTTGTGAAGTTGGTTACAGTTAGTAACATTGAATTTGTGTCACATTGACGTTTAACCTTTATTCAAAAATTTATTTTTTAAATAAATTCACTCAGGTTAATTATGCCACTCGCTACGCTCGTGACATAAACTTAACCTTCGTGAATAATAGCCCTCATTATATGCTCATATAATAATATACTATTATTTGTTTGTCAATACAATACAAAAACGTCAAGAAAAACAAATAAATAGAAAAAACATCAAACAATAAATGACATGTAAAACAAAAGAAAAAGCCTTAATTGAAAATATTGGTACAGTTCAAACATTCATCAGTTGTATAGAAGCATTTTTTAGTAGAGCTTCTTTAACGGTTTTACTAAATTTGGTGTGATTTAAAGTTCTGACATTCGAAGGTAATTTGTTATAGAACTTGACACCTTTAAGCGATGTGACGGTATTTCGAAAAGTGTCTTATTATGTGTATTATATTCATGTAATTGTGAATTTATTCTGAAATTGGCTTTATTTTTATGTACATAATTTAAGCACGCTAGTAGCTTAATAGTAAATGATAAGTATATTATGTTTAACAAAAGATGCTTTACAACTGTCTTGATTTTTCAAATTATCAATAGCACGCACACATCGTTTTTGTAGTACAAACACTCTCCTCACACCAACCGCAGAGCTCCACACGGCAATCCCATATCCGGCAATAACATAAAAATAGGCCATTTTCGCATCCTCCATCGTGGCACACAGAGTCAGTTCACACAAGGAAAACCGCACTTGCGATTGTTTAATTGGTTTTTGCAACTTCTACAAATAAAGTATTATTTAGTTTAATACAGGGTGTATCAAACAACACTTCGAATGACGAGAAAAACATTATTTATGAACATAAAGTGAAATGGAATGGCTTATGGTCACTCAAGAATCATGTTCGCAAATGTTCAAATTGATGACCATTATTGTCTAGACAACACTGATAACGCTCAACAAGGCATTTGGCAAGTTTGCTGCTATAAACTTTGTCTATGAGATATCTCCACAAAAAGAAGTCTATGGGCGAGTACGAACATTCCAAGTTTTTCTTCCCATTTTTTTTTTTAATAGAAAATATTTTAAAAAAACTCGTTTACTTGCTAAAACATTATTTTATTTACTCAGACACTAGTTTCGGATCATCCCCATCATCAGTCTGAATCTATATTATCTTATATGTAAAAATTGATAGCAATATTTAGCAAATTTATTACCTATATTCAAAAAATTAATTTCTTTCTCATCAAAATTGATGTCAGTATAATTTTTAATTTGATTAACATTTCCTAGATCTTTCTCTTCATAATTTGTTGTTTTTTGTTTTGAGTTTTTCTTTAGATTTTCTAATTTCTTTTTCATATCGTCTTCCTTTAATCTTCTTACATGTTCATGGGCTTCTAGAATAAGTTCTTCTATTTCGATGTAGTGCAATTCGGTTATCAATATTCGTTTTATTCTTGCCAGTTGATTATAAGTTTGGTGGAGAATCTTGAAATATCTCTTCTCTTCGCGCAGTATTCTGTTGGTTATATGATTTTTAGTAGTTCTCTTCAATTTATGACATCTAATTTTAGCGAAATTTGGAATTATGTTTTCGTTGAGGCAGGTGTTTATGAAATTGATGTGATTTTTTGTTATTTCTAACTTAATATATCGTTTCTTAAGGCCATGAATCGTTTTAGAAGTATTATAACTTTGATTAAATTTACCATATTTATCCATGTTGCAAGTTAAATATAAGTCATAATATAAGTTGCTTCATTTTGTAACGTAAATTGAACTCTTTCCCTATTACTTAATTACATTTAACTGTAGCTCTATTTCTAGATGTATATAATTATATCAACACAAGTTTTTAAGTTTTAAAGTTACACAAACTGTAAGTTTTTTAACATTTTCATGTATAATATAGATTCAGACTGATGATGGGGATGATAACCGAAACAAGTAGAGCGTAACAGCAAGTAGAAGTGTTTTTAGAACATTTTCTATTTCAAAATGTTGTATAAATATTATAAATATCTTTAATTTTCTATATAGCAAACTTTTATTTTTTATATTTCAAATTCTTACATTTTTATATTTAAAAGTAACTTAAAACTAAAGCATTTCCGGCGCCCACAATTTAAAAGTGCGATCATACGAACAAGTAACCACGTATTGACTATCTCCCGACATATCAACGCACATAACTTTCCCATCATGCCCAGAAAGTGTTTTTAAAGGTTGCCAAGTTCTGCTAGTCCAAATTTTTGCAGAACCATCATATGATGAGGTCACTACATAATCACCAAGTTCCCTTTGATAACGAACGTTCGAAACTAAACTTGTGTGCGCTGGAATAGTGTACAATACCGAACGTTTTCTTAAATCCCAAATTTTTACGGAATTATCATCACTAGATGTCGCTAAATGATATCCGTTTGGTGAAAAATCGATTCCGTAAATTGGTTTTAAATGGCCTTCCATAAACATTATGCAACGTCCGGTTCGCAAATCCCATACTCGGCCAAATGCATCTAAACCACTACCAAAAAATATATACTTAAATAAAATATAAATTAATTTTGCTTTAGGGAATAAATAATCTCACATTAACCGTCTTGAAATACGTGCGTTTCGATGTGACGTCACGTTTTGTGATGCAAGGCTAAGCCCGAATGTTTCTAATAAAAATATGCAACATAGTGATATCTTATGCTAACTAGCGCTACCTACCACTGTCACTAGAACTAAGATTAGAGCTAGAAACATTCAAGCTTAGCCGTCTTAAGAGACGCACGACTAAACCCGAATGTTATTGGTTCTAGGTCTAGTGTTAGTTCCAGTGATAGTGCAAAACTCGAACTAACACTAAATCGAGAACTAGAAATATTCGGATTTAGCCTCACATCTGTTAAGACGGCTAAACCCAAATGATTCTAGGTCTTGTGTTAGTGCGAGTTTTAGTGCAATAAAAATATGCAACATAGCGCTATGCGCTATTTAGCGCTACTTATCACTGTCACTAAAACAAACATTAGACCTAGAACTAGAAACATTCGAATTTAAACTCGAAAGATTCTAGTTCTAGGTCTTGTGCTAGTTCTAGTGAAAGTGCTAATGTTCGTTCTAGTTTTAATGCAATAAAGATATGCAACATAGTAATATCTTATGCTAACTAGCGCTACCTATCACTGTCACTAGAACAAACATTAGACCTAGATTATTAGACCATTAAACCTAGAAACATTTGGATTTAGTCAAGGCAAATGCATCTAAACCACTACAAAAAAATATACAAGTGGTCCGTTACTTATGGAACACAGAGCAACAATCCCATTAAATCATCAGAATTCCTTACATTAAATTATTACGATTTAACCCAATTTATATTAGTCCAATTGTTAATAATAACGAAGATACTGATGGTTACAGAGGATAGTTAAATTTTGCAATGTTCCCTTAAACAGTGATTATCTTGGAAACGGAGAACTTTAGAGAAGATTAGTAGGTATACCAAATTTATGTAAAATAGTCTGAAAAACTGTTTCAAGTTGTGTGAGTTGTAAAAATTTTAACGATAAAAAACATATGACTACTTTAAGCGAGTTTTTTAGCTTAGGCAGCGCCATCTGAAAGAAAGATCAATACTAATACCAAACTAATTTATTTAGTTTAAATACTAAACTAAACTAATTTTCATATTCATAATTTAAGCAAAAGCGAATTTATAGTCTGTATCTTCGTTATTATTAACAATTGGACTAAGATAAATTGGGTTAAATCGTAATAATATAATGTAAGGAGTTCACTGTTGTTCTGTGTGCCATTAGTAACGGACCACCCTGTATAAATAAAATATAAATTAATTTTGTTTTAAGGAATAAATAATCTCACCCTGTTGCAACAACGGACCCATCAACTTGAAAACTAATACAATAAACCGGTTTTCCATGTCCTTCCTGATGCAAAACTTCAGCGCTTTGCTGTAAATCCCATAACCTCCAAGACGAATCATGACAACAAGTTCCCAAGAAACGCCCGGACGGGTGAAAACCTAACCGAGAGACTCTATGTGGCATATGACCCTCAATTTCCGCAATAGGCTCCTCACTAAAATCCTATTAAATTAAAATAATGACTTAAAATTATGATAAATTTACTTTTTTAAGTCCCATAATTTAACGGATCCATCTGCGGCGCAAGATGCTAAATTACAAGCGGTTTCTTCTTGGGTAATTGTTGCTTGAGGATGAAAAACGATAGCTCCAACATGACAGGTATGTCCTTTTAATGTTTGTGTTAATTTGCAATCGGGTATGGACCAAACTTTACATAAACCGCTCCTTAAATTTTTTATTAATTTTGATATAATAGATTATTATCACAGGAGGCATAAGATTAAGGCGTACAGGGCGTCTCAATTTCGTTGTGCGCATAGCCTATCTCCATGATCTCGTATTTTGAGAAAATGCTAATGCCGAAAATTGCGAAAAGCTATCGTCTTTTTTTTGCCCTATTTTCGCCAAATTTTGAGAATTTCTTTCTAATCTTTGGCAATTATTTGAAACATTATTTTCCATCGTACTATGTATGGTTATCACCATAGCAACATTAACTTTTAAATACATACATTAGTGTTAGATAGAACAAAAAGAATTTCTGTTAATTATTCAATAACATAAATGAGATATTCGCGATTATCATTTTCGCATAATTTTCCATTTTTGCCAATAGGACGAAAACAAAAGACGATAACTGTTCGCAGTTTTCGGCATCAGCATTTTCTCGAAAAACGACATCATGATTACATGTCATGATGTTGTTTTTACTACTTTTTTTCTATCTCTTTTAGTTTCGGAGATAGCCTATGCGGAGAACGAAATTGGGACACCTGTACATGACAGAAGGTTAAGTTTATGTCACGAACGTAGCGAGTGACATAATTAACCTGAGTGAGTAATAGCTCATTATATGTGAGTAGAACTACTATTAAAATTGATTCCATAAATTTATTTTTTCGAAAACTGCTATTAAAAGTTGACTTTTGCATAGTCAAAACGATAGTTTTTTGTCAACAGGACGTAATAGTATATTAAAAAACAAGTTTCGTAAGACCCGTTTTTTAGAAGCAACGAATTTTTTACTGAATGAGTGCTTTAAGTCTTACGAAACGTGTTTTTTATGCTATTTTTTGTAATTCGCGTTTTTATCCTTTTTTTTTAACAAAAAAATAAATAAATTTTGACTATGTAGGGAAATAGGTATGTAGCAGTTGGTAACACCATAACACTTGAAAATAGAAATTAGAATTGACAATTAGAAATTATCAAAATACAAAATGTATTCACCTAAAAACAAATGTTTGATGCACACCTCCCAAAATAAGAGAGTGGACCTTGTGTTCGATGCTAAGAACGTGTTTAAACAACCATAGACAAAAATTGTCACATTGACAACTAGAAAAATTAATGACCCAATGTCACTAACTTGAACTGGTTCCATAAAATGTTACTAAAATCTCATTACAGCATCGGATGCTGTAAGGAGTCTCATTACAGCACCCGTTTTTAGTACTGTAATAGCTTTCTTTTTTCTTAATTACTGTCGTAAATTACAAAAAAGTCCAGGACGCAAAAGATTTTTACGTCCAGCTACGACAATCAAAGAATTTGATACTATTAATTGTTAATTTATTGTTATGAACAAATTATAAACAGGAAATAATCAATATTTAATTATTTTATCATTTCATTTCATGTTTAAATGCAAATTTATAATAGTACATTTGTTCAATATGTGAGGTTAAGTCGATGTGACGTTAAGTTTTTGACATATGTAACATTAAATGAATTCTAAATGTCATACAGAATTTGGTCGTTTTATTAATTTATAAACTTTAGAACACGCAGTTTAATACACGACAGTGAATTCTTTTGCATTCTTGAACGATTTTTTTGCTCGCTAAAACTCGCAGAAAAAAATTGTTCTCGAATACAAAAATGTCATTTCGCTATCTTGTATCAAAAATAATTATTTTGTAATTCGCGACGGTAATGAAAGCTCTAACAGTACTCAAACGGGTGCTGTAATGAGACTCCTTACAGCATCCGATGCTGTAATGAGATTTTAGTAACATTTTATGGAACCAGTTCAAGTTGGTGACATTGGGTCATTAATTTTTCTAGTTGTCAATGTGACAATTTTTGTCTATGGATGTTTAAACACGTTCTTAGCATCGAATACAAGGTCCACAATGATGAGGACATTGAACATTGAGCAATTTCTCTTATTTTGGGAGGTGTATATGAAACATTTTTTTCAGGTGAATACAATTTGTGTTTTGACAGTTTCTAATTGTCAATTAAAATTTCTATTTTCAAGTGTTACGATGTTACCAACTGCTACATACCTATTTCCCTATATTAACAACATTTATTTTATTTTTCTTTAAAAAAAAGGATAAAAATGCGAATTACAAAAAATAGCATAAAAAACACGTTACATAAGACTTAAAGCATTCATTAAAAAACTCGTTTTACAACTTGAATTCGTGTATTTCAAGCGTGTCTTACGAAACTTGTTTTTTAATATACTAATTTTTGAATAAAGTTTAAACGTCAATGTGACACAAATTCAATGTCACCAACTGTAACCAACTTCACAACAATTTGTCAAAATTAAATGTCAATTTTATGAAACGTCACGTTTTTTTACGAAAATTTATTAATTTATGCTTAAATCATACCAAAAAAAGAATTTGTTTACGTTTTTTTAATGTCAAACTTTTAGAAAGGGCTAAAAAATTAAATTCAATTGACATTTTTTGAAATTTTGACATTTCAAATAATTATTAGTCTGTCAAGTTGATTACCCATGAATAATTATTAATATGATTAATGATTATTCACTGCTATTATTCACTCTGTGAAAAATGACTACCATTTTGTTTTAGAAAACTCATTGATAGGTAGTCATGGACAAAAACATTTTTTTTAAATAATAATTTACCATGAAGCTGTAGCAATTAATTGCGAATTTGGACTAAATTGACAAAAAGAAATCGGCCTAGTATCCCCAACTTGACTACTATGAATCGATAACATTTGAAATCGTTTTTGTACTTCTTGCATTTTAGCCGTTTTCGTAGCCGATGGTAAATTAGAAGTATTTCGGGCTTCCTCCAATCGAGCTTTAGATCTCGGGAGCGAATATTCAGCAATCCAAGATCGAGCTATTTTTAACGATTCGGGACCTTCATGGTACCAAGTTGTTTCTTGGTCACGTTCTAATAATTTCTTTTCTTCTTCAACTTCTTTTCGCATAATAGCTTCTTCTCCAATACTTAAAAAAAATAAATTTTTAAATAAAATGATTAGTGTAGGTTTTTTTTTTAATTTACCATGATAATATATCTCGTAATCGATTTCTTCTTTCCGCTGGCCCTTCTCCGAATAAACAAATCGGTTCTCCAAGTTGTCTTAAATTTCTTTTCACTTCAGCATCATCGGTTGATACGTTTATTGAACGCGCTTTCTTTCGTCTTTCAAACTCCTCCAAAAGAGCTTGTTTATCTTTCGACATTGCATCTTCCAATTCCATGTATTCTTAAAAAAATGTTTATGTTTATTATTTATTTATTTTTTAATTACTTATTCGTTACCATTTGAAATATGTACTTGAGTAGGAACAACGGGGGGCACATCGTTATCCTGACTATTATCCTCTTGGGATTCTAACCTAGCTTTTTCCGTTTCTTCCAATGAACCATAATGAATCGTTTTTGGTTTTTTAACGTATGTAGCTTCATCATCAGACATTTTAAATTGCGTTTTTAATCGAAATTATTTAGTTTGTTTCTGTTTTGGTGAATCTAACCTCAAATAAACGCGTAACGTCAAACTTTGAAACGTCAAATGTTACTACAACCTTGTTTTTAACCTAGAATTTTCACAAAATTTTTTTGGCGGTCACTTTAAATCCAATTTTATTTATTTATTAAATAATTTTTAAATATTTTATTATATATTACAATTTGTTGAGTTAAATGTATCTTCCAAACTCGAAATATCACAATGTCAGTCAAAACCAACAAGATAACAACTTAACCTCAAATTTTTTTCACTAAAGTCAAAATTTCAATTAAATTATCAACTTCTCGTTCACTAAGATTAAATTCCTTCCTTTTCAATTTCGACAGAAAAAGGATCTTTAATCCACATATTATTTGAAGAAATATCCTGTAAGTAGTCTTTAACGTACTTTTGACGTTTACCCCTGCGCCCCCACGGACACCTTCCCAAAAATTGTAAATGGAATGACCCCTCGCGTGGTATCTCAAATGAAAGCTTAACTTATAAGGATTATGGTGATGTGTCACTTGCCCACGTTTCCTATTTTCATTTTCTTAAAAATGTCTCAGAAACTGTTTCAAGTTGTGTGAGTTGTAAAAATTTTAACGATGAAAAAGATATGACTACTTTAAGGGATTTTTTGTAGGTTAGGCAGCGCCATCTGAAAGATAGATCACTAATACCATATTATTTATCGTCTTAAAATATGATAATGTACAATTTTCATGTTCATACTGTAAGAGAAAAAGAAATTATTAAAGAAAAAAGAAAAAAAGGGTTATTTTCGTTATTATTAACAATTGGACTAAGATAAATTGGGTTAAATCGTAATAATTTAATGTGAAGAATTCACTGTTGCTCTGTGTCCCATTAGTAAGGAACCAACCTCTATACAGGTGTTTCAGGTTTTTGTAGCAGGACTTTAACAGTCGACAGATTTTTTAAAATTAACACAAAAACTTCATATAAACATAGCTCGACAAACGCTTTGTTTTTGAGATACAGGGTGCCCAAATTAAATTTTTAAATTAATTTTTATTTAATATTAAACGTATATTTCAACCGATTCTTTTCAAATTTGGTATACGGACGTTGTTTGGCCTGAGAAAGACGATTATGGAGTCCGTTTTTTTATAGCCGGTAGAGGGCGCTCTGTAACGTATTCTCTAAGCATTAAAATAACAATAACTTTTCTGACAGTATACTTTTTGAATAAAAATTCTTATTCTCTGTACTTCTTAAGCAAAACGGGTACCCTTATCAAAATGCACTAAAATTGATCGTTTTCAAGATAATCTGCTTTTTATTATTCGATACAGACCAATGTTTTTAGAGGATAGTTAAAATAGTGTGTGCCATGGAAACAAAGTAGGTAAATTAACTAATGTTTTAGTTTATTGATGTTTTTTAATCTAAATAATAAAAGAAAAAAATTAAAGAAATTGTTGAAAATGTAAAAAATTTTGCTTGCATAATTCGGACCGACGAATTGCTACTGATCGAGTAATGGTATTTAAGAAGGGTCTTATATCATTACAAGCAACCCTGATCCTATTAACAGTTCATCCGTTGTGGGAACAGGTGTCTCATACAATTTTCCTTTCAAATATCTCCACACAAAAAAGTCTAAAGCATTAAGATCTGCAGATCGTGGAGCCATGCAACTGGTCCACCATGACCAATCCATCTTGCAGGAAAATGGTGGTTAAAACTAGGTCTTTCTTCTTAAAGCTAAATCAATGGCATCCCCTATATTAAAACAAAACATATTAAAATTAAAAAAAAAACAATTTAACACGATTAGGAAAAAGAGTAATGAATTTAGTACGTTAATAAACAAGAAAATTGAATTTAACACATTAACAAATAAGAAAAATTAATTTAACACTGATCAACAACTACTGGTGATTTGATACTTGATACAATAAACTAAAACATTAGTGAACTTACCTACTTTGTTTCAATGGCAAACATTATTATACCTATCTTTAACAATCCTCTAATAAAATTGGTCTATATCGAATAATAAAAAGCGGATTATCTTAAAAACAATAAACTTTAGCGCATTTTGATAAGAGTATCCGTTTTGCTTAAAAAGTACAGAGAATAAGAATTTTTATTCAAAAAGCCAACAAGTATACTGTCAGAAAAGTTATTGTTATTTTAATGCGTAAAGAATACGTTAAAGAGTGCCCTCTACCGGCTATAGTAAAACGGACTCCATAATCGTCTTTCTCAGGACAAAAAACCTCCGTATATCAAATTTGAATAGAATCGGTTGAAATAGACGTGTAATATTAAATAAAAAACAATTAAAAAATTTTACTTAAACACCCTGTATCTTCAAAACAAAGCGTTTGTCGACCTACGGTTATATGAAGTTTTTGTGTTAATTTTAAAAGTTCTATCGGCTGTTAAAGTCCTGCTACAAAAACCTGAAACACATAAGAACCGACACATTTTTACCGACCGATTTAACGTAACTTACCTCTATACTAAGTTGTACATCTGAGGAGTTATAGGCCTTCAAAGTTGGCTCTTAAATTTTTAAAAAGTTCAATATCTTCGTAATACATTACGCTAGAAAAACCAAATTTGGAATACTTTATGAGTGTACCCTAAATTTTGACAGATTTTTTAACCTTTTGGCGGATTTAATACATTACTACTTCATTTCATGTGGAATTAAAGTCTAAAACTTTTCTTACACGTATTGTTTTTTAAAAAACTTTGTCGGTATCATAAAAAACTTAAATAACTAGACACGTATTTCGTAATGTTACTTAAAATAAGAGAAAATTTAGTAGTCGGGTATGAAATTGTATGTCAAACTTGACAAATAGGTTATAAAGTTATTTGACGACAAGGTTTTATAACCTATTTGTCAAATTTGACGTACAATTTCACAATTTTCATCGATTTTAAGTAGCATTAACGAAATACGTGTTATTAGTTATTTGAGTTTTTTATGAAAACGACAATGTTTTTTAAAAAATAATAAGAGTAAAAAAAGTTTTAGAATTAAACTCCACATGAAATGAAGTAATAATGTATTAAATCTACCAAAAGGTTAAAAAAATTTGTCAAAATTTATGGGACCATCACCCTTAATCAACCTTTTGAAATGCCTCAATTGGTCTCAACTTGCTACCAATTAATACCCTCGGTATACTCATAACATATACCAAATTTGGTTTTTCTAGCTTAATGTATTACGAAAATATTTAATGTTTTAAAAATTTAAGACCCAACTTTGAAGACCTATAACTCCTCAGGGGTACAACTTAGTATAGAGATAAGTTGTGTTAAATCATCTTAATTTATTGTCCTCTACATGTCCCTGCTCTGCGTCGGTTCTTATGTGAATCACCCTGTATATTCCTAACTGTTTGTGTTTGATGACATTAGGGACTGACTGTATATGAAATTCCCGGTATAAATCATTATTATAAGTAAATTAACTCCCTGGTAGGCAATATTAATGAATTAACTTTATCAAGAGGTGAATATATAACTATTTTGGGAAATTAGTCTTATATTATTGTAACACTAACAAGGGAAGTATCAGAACTGTCCCTCACCGATATTGTTGAAATTTGGTACAGCGATAGTATGGCCAAAAATAAGGTTTACGTATTTTTTTATACGTGCTAATAAAGCCCCTGGGGCGAGTTATAAGGGTTGGAAATCGGGGCGAAATATATATATTCGCTTATAGGCTGAAAACGAAAATAGCTATCGAAATGTGGTAAATGAAAACTGATATTCATTTTCAAAGAGCTTTCCATTGATGTATCACACATATATCTGAGGGCTTCAGGGGGTAAACTACCCCTAGTTTTTTGGAATATTTTAAAAACTACCCTGTCGATTTTGGCGATATTATGTGTCCTTATAGCACGTTTAAAAATAGCAATGACGTGTTTCTTCTTATTTGCCTCTGACCATCCCCTGCAAAGTTACGGGGTATGATAGATAAAGGGGTTATCGTAAGAATAATGTGATAAACTGTTACACTGTTGAACAATATTTTGAAGAAAAGCATAAATTAGATGTAAATTAAGATGTACGCAGTAAAATAAACCCTATACGACATTTAGGGGTGGCTAGGGTTAACTACCCTAACCACCTCAAAAATTAAATTTTTTTGCGAAAAAATCGATTTTGGTGCAATTTAGGACAATGATTTTTTATACGTTAGGTAGTACTTTTGAAAGAACTTACAAGGGTTAGAAGTTTGGGGTAGAAAATATATTCTCGCTAATAATTTTCATAATCCTACAGAAAACGTTTTTTATCCTTACTCTATTTAAATAACACAAAAGTTAGTGTAGTTATATAAATATTTATTAATAATAAGTTAAAAAGTAACTGGCAAAGAAATGGTTGACTATTACAAATTGTATTCAACATTATTAATTTAATTTCTTTCTTTTTACTTTTTTTATTCAATGTATTGTTGGCAATAATGAAAATCATGGAAAAAATGTTTTAAACACAACGATTGTTTACACTATGCACAAGTTATAACAGCTATTTCTCCACAGATATCGCACGTAGGTTTTTCATTGGAAAAGCAAACCTCCACGAGATTTTCAACTGTTCTAGTCTCTCCTCTATATATCCAGACGCAAGCCACGCGTATTTAAAAACATTAATAAATCGTGGGGAAGACAACTGGTTATGCGTTAAGGATTGCAATTTTAAAATATTATCTCGCTGATGCAAATTGACATCGTACTGGTAGAGAATAACTTGATCAGAAAATCTTCTAATGAAATTTTTCCATATTCTAAAACCAAATACATCCAGGGGTTGAATTTGACCTGTTGTCCCTGCAGGTATAGACAAATATTTAAACTTAACATCCGATGGAGTTACTTCACTAATAATTTCAGGGCAGTGGCCACTCCAAGAATCCAGTAATAGTAATGATTTGGGTCCGGTGTTTGGGAAATAGACATTTTGTAGCCAATTTTTCATATGAGCAGAAGTCAGTTTACCAGACTTTGATGCCAAAACGAATATGTTATCTGCTTTGAACATTGTATTTATTACCCTCGGTCCAAACGTACCAGAGGATTCTAACAATGTAGAATACAATTTGTGATATTTAACCATTTTTTTTCAGTTGCTTTTTAACTCATTATTAATAAATATTTATATAATTATCCTAACTTTTGTGTTATTTAAATAGAATAAGGATAAAAAAGCTTTTTCTGTAGGAGTATGAAAGTTATTAGCGAAAATATATTTTCTACCCCAAACTTCTAACCCTTGTAAGTTCTTACAATAGTACTACCTAACGTATAAAAAAATCATCGTGGTAAATTGCACTAAAATCGACAAACAATTTTCGAAAAAAAAATTAATTTTTGGGATGGTTAGGGTAGTTAACCCCAGCCACCCCTTAATGTCGTATAGGGTTTATTTTACTGCGTAAATCTTAATTTACATCTAATTAATAGTTTTCTTCAAAATAGTGTTCAAAAGTGTAACTGATTATCACATTATTCTTAAGGAAAGGGGTTATCTATCATACCCCGTAACTTTGCAGGGGATGGTCAGAGGCAAATAAGAAGAAACACGTCATTGCTATTTTTAAACGTGCTATAAGGACACATAATATCGCCAAAATCGACAGGGTAGTTTTTAAAATATTCCAAAAAACTAGGGGTAGTTTACCCCCTGAAGCCCTCAGATATATGTGTGATACATCAATGGAAAGCTCTTTGAAAATGAATATCAGTTTACATTTACCACATTTCGATAGCTATTTTCGTTTTCAGCCTATAAGCGAATATATATATTTCGCCCCGATTTCCAACCCTTATAACTCGCCGCAGGGGCTTTATTAGCACGTATAAAAAAATATGTAAACCTTATTTTTGGCCATACTATCGCTGTACCAAATTTCAACAAAATCGGTGAGGGACAGTTCTGATACTTCCTTTGTAAGACACGTTATGTGACGATGAATATACCAGGCCTTTATTTAATAGGTTTTTGCAACTTCTACAAATAAAGTATTACTTAGTTTAATATATTATTAAAACATTTGTATTACCAGCAACCTCAATTTTATTAACATTTTTGCTCAGTTTTATTGGGTTTTCCTCATTAGTTATGTACTCCTTGTAATGATTTAAGATCCCAAATCTAACGTTTTAAGCTGTTTTGAGAGTTATTACAACGTTTAGTATCCATATTTACTTCTAAAAAGAACTGTATTAAATTAAAAATGTTTAAAAGATATAAATTATTTGGAAGTCGGCAACCTAACCTCACTTTTTATAGGTTATCTGTCAAAAGTAAAAAATTTAATTCTTGGTAAAATTAAAAACAAGAATTAGATTTTATTTTTTTGTGATTATTCGATATTATTAATTTGTTTATATTCGAAAAATAATTTATTATTAATAATTAATTTAATTGAGAAATAAAATTGAATTGCCGATAAAGTTAGGAATTAATTTTACCGATGGCGTATTGTTTTGTTTTTATGTAAAAACTGAGTCAGAGATGAAATAGTCTTCACGTAGTCAGTTGCGCCATCTCTGTCGTGCAATTTCAAAAAAACTGTGTTCACAGCGACGATAATCGGTGAATTTTACCGAAATTTCGATAAATACCGAAAAGATAAGTGAATAGAAACGTTCGGGGGCGACGGTCGCGTTCATTTTTCCGATCAAAAAACATTGTTGAGCGTTTTTTTCGGTAGAAAGAGGTTAGTTCACCTCGACAACCGTAAGATCGTTGAACTTGCCGCCGCTTTAGTGTTTCGTCTTTTTCCCACGAAAAGACAGTTTCAAGTTTATAAAAATAAATATGAAAGGCCTAATTAATGTAGGAAATTTGTCCCCGTTTTTGAATCGACTTTAACAAACCGTTAGTCGGCAACGACGTTTCAAACAGAAAACGTGTGATGTCGCATTAAAATATTTGAGTGTTGTTTTTTTGGAGTGTTATTTTTTTAATTAAAAGTGTTAAAGTGTGAATTTAGAAAAATCTGGATTTCTGAAGACCGGGAATTTTTTTTTAAGACGTACTCGGTATTGATTTGGGTTCTCGGAGGCTTGGCTTGCTACGATTACACCGGCGGCGTCTTATTTTCTATTGGCCCGTCCAGAAAACGACATAAAATTTTTTTTTCATACTCGTCTCCACCGTTCAGATGGAACTCAAAATTTCCGCGTTTTTCAATCGTGTGTTGTTACTGTTACCACGGCGGCATTATTGTTTAAACACAACAATATAGTGTTATTTTTTTAAACAAAAACATAACCTCACAAAAAAAATCAACAAAACAAAATAAGTGAAATGTAGTGATTCTTTTTTGTTTTTATATAACATTAATTTTTTAAGAACGACATAACCTCAAAAATGGACAAGATTAAAACGAAATTGGACGATTTTATTTATTAAAGTGACTCATTTTATACTTGATAATCAACTTAAATTGGAGAAAATAAATTAGATTCGAAATAATTGAAGATGTTACCACAACAATATTGCCTCCGTTGGAGGTATCATCATTCAAACTTACAAACAATGTTTTCCCAATTATTGGAACGTGAGGCATTTTGTGATGTTGTATTAGCATGTGAAGGAAAAATGATTAAAGCACATAAAATAGTTTTATCCGCGTGTAGTACTTATTTCGATACGATTTTATCACAATTCGAAGAAAAAGATCCAATACTTATTATGAAAGACGTTAAATATACGGATATTAAGTGTTTGGTTGAGTTTATGTATAAAGGAGAAATTAATGTTGATCATGTAAGTATTTATTAAAAAAACGATCAAATTAAAAACGATTTTTTAGGTTATATTATTTATCAAGATTAATTATTAGTTTTTTTTAATAAGATTTACTTTTTAATTATAACTATGGAAAAGGTTTATTTTAATTTTAGATTAAAAAAATAGATAAGATAAATTTTAGATAAATGCAAACATATAACTTAAACTTACATTAAATTTTATTTCGTGATCAAATATTTGATGTTTTTTTTCGATTTCTCGCTATGATAAACCAAAAATCCCATCAAATTTCATATCTTTTAATTAATTTTAACCTCAAAAATAACCCTATTCTATTCAAACATTTCTTAACCTCAAAATTATTTAAAAATTTTATTTTTAACCAAGAAATAAAACCAAATAATTAAAAAGCAACAAAAATTAGAACGTTATAATTTAACACTTTTAATTAATTGACATAACCTTAATTAAATGATGTTAATTGCGTTTTATTTTTACTGGGAATTTCATATAACTCGCAATATATAAACGCAGTAACCATAAATTGGTTACTGCAGTAACATAGAATGCAACATAACTTAATAGTAGCTAATTATGCAAAACAAAAGTTTTGCTTGGAAAAGGTGGCGTTCTTATGATAACTCTGAGTTTCTGTCTTAAGAAACGCACTGCTAAACCCGAATTTTGTGGTTTCTGGCAAAACTAGAACTAAAACTAGATCTAGAACTAGAAACATTCTGATTTAGCCACACGCCTCTCAAGGCGGCAAAACCCGAATGATTTTAGTTCTAGGTTTTGTGTTAGTTCTAGTGATCATGCTAATGTAAAACTAGAACTAACACTAGACCAAGAACTAGAAACATTCGGGTTTAGCCCCACGTCTTTCAAGACGGCTAAACCCGAATGATTTTAGTTCTAGGTCTTGTGTTAGTTCTAGTGATACCACAATCTAACGACGAATAACAATTAGGTAAAACTAGAAATAACACTAGAACTAGAAAGATTCGGATTTAACCGCACATCTGTAAAGGCGGCTAAACTCGAATGATTTTAGTTCTAGGTCTTGTGCTAGTTCTAGTGATAGTGCTAGAGCAAAGTTAGAACACAAGACCTAGAACTAAAAACATTCGGATTTAGCCGTCTTGAAAGACGAGCGGCTAAATCCGAATGTTTCTAGTTCTAGATCTTATGTTAGTTCCTGTAACATTAGATCAAGAACTAGAAACATTTGGGTTTAGCCGCACGTCTTTTAAGACGGCAAAACTCAAATGTTTCTAGTTCTTCATCAAATGTTAGTTCTAGTGATAGTGCTAGTGGAAAACTAAAACTAATACTAGACCTGGAACTAGAAACATTCGGATTTAACGGCACGTCTTTCAAGTCGACTAAACCCGACTGATTACAATTCTAGATCTTATGTTAATTCTAGTGATAGTGCTAGTGTAAAACTAGAACTAACACTAGACCTAGAACTAGAAACATTCATACTTTCTACTTCTAGGTCTAGTGTTAGTTCTAGATTTAGTGCAATAAAAATATGTAACATAGTAATATCTTATGATAACTAGCGCTACCTATCACTGTCACAAGAACAAACATTAGACCTAGAAGTAGAAACATTCGGATTTAGCCGCACGTCTCTCAAGACGGCTAAACCCGAATGATTCTAGTTCTAGGTCTTGTGCTAGTTCTAGTGATAGTGCTAATGCAAAACTAGAATTAAGACTAGAACTAGAAACATTCGGATTTAGCCACACGTCTTTCAAGATGGCTAAACCCGAATGATGCTAGTTCTAGATCTTGTGTTAGTTCTAGTTTTAGTTCAATAACAATATGCAACATAGTGATATCTTATGTTAACTAGCGCTACCTACCACTGTAATCTAACGACGAATAACAATTAGGTAAAACTAGAAATAACACTACAACTAGAAAGATTCGGATTTAGCCGCACATCTCTAAAGGCGGCTAAACCCGAATGATTCTAGTTCTAGCTCTTGTGTTAGTTCTAGAGATAGTGCTAGTGTAAAATTAGAACTAACACTATATCTAGAACTAGAAACATTCGGGTTTAGCCGCACGTCTTTCCAGACGGCTAAACCCGAATGATTCTAGTTCTAAATCTTGTGTTAGTTCTAGTGATTGTGCTAGTCTAAAACTAGAACTAACACTAGACCTAGAACTAGAAAGTATCGAATGTTTCTAGTTCTAGGTCTAGTGTTAGTTGTAGTTTTAATTCGATAAAAATATGTAACATAGTTAGATAATATCTTATGATGAGGACAAACATTAAGGGTCCCATACACGGTGATGCAAAACTGAAGAATGTTTGCATGCGGTTCAAATTTAGTTGTCAGTTTTAGTATCAGTTTAGTTTCATAGTGAGTTGCGACTGAAAGGTGCGACTTGTTAACTATAATGAATGTAATACGGCAATATGATTTATATTATTTAATTGCTACTACTATCGCAAACGTAGTGAAGGAGAAGAAAGAAATGAGGAGATCAGAATGGGTAAAAAATTGGCTGAATGCAAAAAATGTCCGAGAACGTTTTGTAAGGTTTACTTTATTGCTGATGGGCGCGTGCCTTGGCAACATGATCGTGTTACATATCAAGAATAGTGGAGTTGTTAATTTTGAAAATATACTTACATGACACTGTTTCGTTATCATGCATAGTGTTTTTATGTATCTTAACTCTACTGTACAAATAAATAAAATAAAGCTTTCTCCAGTTCTTTATGTATTTAAAAATAATAGTATACATTATTCACTTAAAAATTGTGAATAATATTGCCCGGTCGAGAATCGGCAGTCTAGAAATTGTAGAATAGCTGATATTTGATATTTGCTTAAAAATGCTTAATTGGTATATACTTATAAATTCACGTATAACGTCTTCTTGCTAACAAACAGCCATTACGTAAACAAATTTGAATAATATGCTTGCGAAGATCAATTTAAAACTGAGAAGAATGGTATGAACTGTCTCCACACGTACAAGCTTGCACACGACGGGCCGTGCAAAATCAAGCTCAGCCAGATTTTATCGTGCCATGCCTAGACCTGACAGCGCCATCAGTTTTGGGGCATACACGATCACATTTGCTTGTGTGCATTAGCTCTGCGTGCAAATGTAACAGTTTTGCATCACAGTGTATGGACCGTATTAGACCTAAAACTAGGAACATCCGGATTTAACCCTACGTCTCTCAAGACTGATAAACCCGAATGATTCTAGTTCTATATCTTGTGTTAGTTCTAGTGATAGTGCTAATGCAATATTAGAACTGACACAAGACCTAAAACTAGAAACATTTGGGTTTAGCCGCACGTCACTAAAGACGGCTAAGCCCGAATGATTCTAGTTTACGATCTTGTGTTGGTTCTACTGTTAATGCTAGTGCAAAACTAGAACTAACACTATATTCGGATTTAGCCGCACGTCTTTAGTTTAATAAAAACATGCAACATTTTATGCTAACTAGCGCTACCTACTACCTACCAGCCATCTTAAGAGAGGTTTCTAAATGGTATCTTTCTAGGTCTAGTATTAGTTTTGGTACTAGTGTTAGTCTAATTTTGTTTGTTATTCAGTGCTAGATTGTTGTATATTTTTATTGAGCTATAACGGACACTGCGTTCCCCTTATTGATCTGTTATATCGAGGTTTTGTTGCATTAAGACGATTTTAATCTTGAACGAAATGATTAGGTTACATGAAAATGTAATTGCCTCAGACTATCAATATTTATTGACAATCTACTTAGTTTTGCGTTGGCAGTCAAAGATGTCATGTCATGCTTGCATGTGTTAATGAACCATCCGGGGAGTTAATAGTACTTTCGTTCATTAAAGTATATCTGTCTGAATTCATTATCACGCGATATAATCCTACTGACGTAGGATTCTCAATATCTCCCTCAGACTGTCAATATATCAAATATATTCGTTTTCGTCAAACCATCCCATCAATATTTTTAATATTGACAATATGTCAATTTTTCTACTCACACGTTCAATAATATTGTCAATACTCAGATATTGACAATATATATTGATCGTGTAAAGGGCGCTGTCAAATTATATTGACATGTTGCATTTTATGTAATTTACTGGTTTGTATGGAAATTCACTGTACAGTTTTTTTTTCTTAGATATTTTATACATAACCTAAAAAATCGTTTTTATAATTAAATTTGAATTCCTTTAATTGAATATTTTTTTAATTTCTTTTCTTTTAAATTAAAAGAATCATTTAGCGACATTATTAAAAACCGCCGAAGAATTACGAATAAAAGGTTTGGCGGAAGTTTCGTGGCGCGATCAAACTGAAGGAGCAAGCGGCGAAGGCGCCCCAACGAACGGGGTGCAAACGGCCCTTCCGCACGTTTCCACCGTTATGGAAGATTCGTCCTCAGCGAAATTGGAACCTCCCGCCAAAAGAAAACGTGGTCGACCTCCCATTGACGATTACGATTCCAACGTTCAGTACGGTAACAATAATAAGGGTACGTCGAATAATTCCGTATCGGGCGGACATGGTGAAGATGGGTATTCGGATGCTTTGTCGAGTAGCGAACACGATCTTTCAATTTGGGAGGAAGAAAATCCACCGGGAATCAATGACAACGATGATGGGGATGAATCGGAAAGAATTATTAAAGTTAAAACGGAATTGGTAAGTTATCAAATTTATTGTTATCATATTATTTCATATATCTGTTAATGAATTGAATATGATTCATAATTTTGCCGCGCACTGTATCATATCGCGTATACAGGTGTCCCAGAAAATCAACCGACTACCGGTAACTTAGAAACTTATACGCAATTAATAAAATTAGATAAAATCCTTTAAAAGTGTCAATTGACATAAGTCAATTATGACGTAACTCAATTTTTTTTTAATTGTTAATTTTACTACTATTCTCTATGTTTGAAAAAATAATCCGGGCTTAGAGAAACGTTCCTAATTTATTTAGAAAATGCTCTATTCTTTATGGCCTGTAGCAAGCGCTCAGTAATCTGCGTATCCGAAAATTGTTTAATGTGATTTCGGGCTTGTCTCCTTTGTAAAGTCTGAAGAGCAGGGGTGAGGAAGGCCTTTGTTCATTTTCATTAGATACTAGTCTTGTTACTCATGAGGACTTGGAAGCATCTGTTAGATAGCATAGAATTGACAATATCAGTTGTCTTTCTGCTGTTGAAAGCCTGTTTCCACATAGTTAGTTAGTACGTGTAATTGTTCTGTGCAGCTCCGATTTGGTCAAAATCCTGGTTGTTCCATAGGTATGGGTTGTAGTCTTGTTTGGGCAATCCTGTTATATAGCAATCTTTCAACATTTTTCATCTGAAGGATGTCTAAAACTCGACACGAATCCCATCAAAATCATGGTCTTTTCTTGTTTCCATTTTATTCACTCGATTTTTGAAAGTCTAGGTTTTGCAAATATCTTAATCCATTTCTCGAGCCTTGCAGCATCAATGCTGTGGAACAGTTCATCTGCAATTTCCTGTCTCCCATCTTCACAAAATTCTTTGTACAATTTTTCGTTCGCCTTGGACCATCTAGCCATTCTACGAATTGCTACCTTTGCTACTCTTTGGTTGGATCCAGCCTAAACATTTGTCAAGATTACTAAAGAAAGGAGCATCAGGAAAACTAACTTTTCTGAAGATCCATCTGGGATGCCAGTTCCGATTTTGATCAAAATAGGACGGTGTTGGTTATGAGGAAACTCTGGTATGGGAGTGCTGGTAGAGGTTGGGTGTTGTTGTCAATGGTAACAAATCAAAGATGAAAAGTGCCTCTGTGTAATAACTTAAACATCTACAGTGAATTTCACTTGAAATGCAATATACAAAAAAATATTTCTATAGAAACTAGGACGTACCTACTTATTTTGTCCCACATAAAATGCAATATGTCTGAATGTTTCTAGTTGTAGATCTAATGTTAGTTCTAGTGACAGTGGTAGGTAGCGCTAGTTAACATATCACTATGTTGCATATTTTTATTGAACTAAAACTAGAACTAACACTAGACCGAGAACTAGAAAGTATCGGGTTTAGACGCACGGCTAAACCCGAATGTTTCTAGTTCTAGTGTTAGTTCTACATTTACACTAGTACTATCACTAGAACAAACACAAGACCTAGAACTAGAATCATTCGAGTTTAGCAGTCTTTAGAGAGGTGCGGCTAAACCCGAATGTTTCTAGTTCTAGTTCTAGGTCTAGTGTTAGTTCTGGTTTTACACTAGCACTATAACTAGAACTAACACAAGACCTAGAACTAGAATCATTCGGGTTTAGCCGTCTTGAAAGACGTGCGGCTAAATCCGAATGTTTCTAGTTCTAGGTCTAGTCTTAATTCTAGTTTTGCACTAGCACTATCACTAGAACAAGACCTAGAACTAGAATCATTCGAGTTTAGCCGTCTTGAAAGATGTGCGGCTAAATCCGAATGTTTCTAGTTCTAGAACTTGTGTTAGTTCTAGTGATAGTGCTAGTGCAAAACTAGAACTAACACAAGATCTAGAACTAGAAATATTCGGATTTAGCCGCACATCTTTCAAGACGGCTAAATTCTAGCATCATTTGGGTTTAGCCATCTTGAGAGACGTGCGGCTAATTCCGAATGTTTCTAGTTCTAGGTCTAATGTTTGTTCTTGTGACAGTGATAGGTAGCGCTAGTTATCATAAGATATTACTATGTTGCATATTTTTATTGCACTAAAACTAGAACTTACACTAGACCTAGAACTAGAAAGTATCGGGTCGTCTGAGGACGCACGGCTAAACCCGTATGTTTCTAGTTCTAGGTTTAGTGTTAGTTCTAGTTTTAGATTAACACAATCACTAGAACTAACACAAGACCTAGAACTAGAATCATTCGGGTTTAGCCGTCTTGAGAGAAGTGCGGCTAAATTCGAGTGATTCTAGTTCTCGATTTGGTGTTACTTCTAGTATTGCACTATCACTAGAACTAACACAAGACCTAGAACTAGAATCATTCGGGTTTAGCCGTCTTGAGAAACGCGCGGCTAAATCCGAATGTTTCTAGTTCTAGGTCTAATATTTGTTCTTGTGACAGTGATAGGTAGCGCTAGTTATCATAAGATATTACTATGTTGCATATTGTTATTGCTCTAAAACTAGAACTAACACTAGACCTAGAACTAGAATCTATCGGGTTTAGCCTTCTTGAAAGAAATGCGGCTAAATCCTAATGTTTTAAGTTCTAGGTCTAGTGTTAGTTCTAGTTTTAGACTAGCACAATCACTAGAACAATACAAGACCTAGAACTAGAATCATTCGGGTTTAGCCGTCTTTAAAGACGTGCGGCTAAATCCGAATATTTCTAGTTCTAGGTCTAGTTTTAATTCTAGTTTTACGCTAGCACTATCACTAAAACAAGACCTAGAACTAGAATCATTCGAGTTTAGCCGTTTTGAAAGATGTTCGGCCAAATCCGAATGTTTCTAGTTCTAGATCTTGTGTTAGTTCTAGTTTTGTACTAGCACTATCACTAGAACTAGCACAAGATCTAGAACTAGCATCATTCGGGTTTAGCTGTCTTGAGAGAAGTGCGACTAAATTCGAGTGATTCTAGTTCTCAGTCTGGTGTTACTTCTAGTATTGCACTATCACTAGAACTAACACAAGACCTAGAATTAGAATCATTCGGGTTTAGCCGTCTTGAGAGACGCTCGGCTAAATCCGAATGTTTCTAGTTCTAGGTCTAATGTTTGTTCTTGTGACAGTGATAGTTAGCGCTAGTTATCATAAGATATTACTATGTTGCGTATTGTTATTGCTCTAAAACTAGAACTAACACTAGACCTAGAACTAGAAAGTATCGGGTTTAGCCGTCTTGAAAGAAGTGCGGCTACATCCGAATGATTCTAGTTCTCGGCCCGGTGTTAGTTCTAATATTGCACTATCACTAGAACTAACACAAGATCTAGAACTAGAATAATTTGGCTTTAACCGTCTTGAGAGACGTGCGGCTAAATATGAATTTTCAAAAATTTTTAACACCAACTTAACCGAGTAAATTAATACAACTTTAATGGACGCTCAAGATTAAATATTTTATTAAGAATCTACTACGATCAATACAAGAAAATTGAAATAAAATTGTAAAATAAAATATACCCAGCAAAAACAAAATAAATGTTGTAGATTGAATGGAAAAAAATAACAATAAAATCGAAGTATTAAAAAAAAGTTGAATAAATATTATTTTTTATAACGTTGGATGGTATTCTGATAAAAGAGAAAGAGAATGAATTAAAAAGAGATAACGAAGAGTTCAAAATACGAAAAGTTTATCTATTTTTTTTTTTAATAAATTTTTTTATTTCAAAAGTAAAAAAAAAATAGACGGTAAAAATCGAGCGATAAAAACGTCGTTGTTTTAAATTTTATCTACGCATAGAAACTCGAAACGAATTTGGTCGAAAAAAAAACACCGTTGTTCGTAATAATTGAAATTATGCAAAAAAAATCCCCACGACAACGTCAAAATCCTTTTCGTTTTATATTTTATTATTATTTTTAAATCAAATTCTTATCGCGGTTTAAAATCAACGCTTTATTTTCTGAGTATTTTGTAGTTAAAAAAAAACCTTCGTTATTGCACAATTAATTTTTTTCATCATCAACAACAAAAATACACCGAAAAGTATTACCCAAAACTTATTTTCGTGCTAAAAATTTTTTCCTTTTTTTTTTTAGTTTAATTATTCACCATCAAGGTTGACCGTGACAAAAGAAAATGAACGTTTTATAGCAAATTAAAACAAACTCGGCTTTTTTGGCACTCCCTTGTTTTTTTTTTGTTTTTTTTTTCGATTTGCAAGGTTAAGCTTGATTGTATTTACGTTGAGTAGAGGGGTGATAAAAAAAGGGTTGCCAAGCGAAGTAACGGAAGACACAAAGAATATGAAAAAAAAATCCAATCGCGGAGTCACTCGGATTTTTTGAAATTTGCTATTTGCGGCTTGCTCAAGGCCAACTGGATCCCCAACCTCCTCCGTGTTATTTTCTGTGTGTATAAAGCGTAAAGACTCTCTCGGTAAAGAAGTTTTATAAAAGCAGGCTGTGGTTCAGGTATCAAAAAACTTACTCAACCTTTTCAGTACTACCAATCTAACCTAACTAAAGGAAAAACCGGTTACATTTTTTTAAAAATATAAATTCCGAAGTCATTTTTAATTGCGTTTTGTTAAAAAACTGAGAATTTATGAATACATAAAAAGTTTTTACATATACAGTGAATTTCACTGAAGATGCAATATACTAGAATATATTTTCAAAGAAATCAGAGCGTACCTACTTACTTTGTTCCACATAAAATGCAATATGTCAATATAATTTGACATTACAGTAAAACCTCGATATAACGGATTAATACGGAGATTGCAGTGTCCGTTATAGCTCAGTAAAAATATACAACAACCTAGTGTTGAATAACAAATAAAACTAGACTAACACTAGCACTAGAACTAGAAACATTGCGTTTAGCTGTGCGTCTCTTAAGACGGCTAAACCTGAATGTTTCTAGTTCTAGGTCTAATGTTAGCTCTAGTAACAGTGGTATGCTAGTTAGCATAAAATATTACTGTGTTCCATATTTTTATTGAACTAAAACTAGAACTAACACTACACCTAG